GTGAGATGTGGTTATTTAAAAAACTTTACAGATGGTGAAAAATATCGTCTTTCCTTCTATACCTTTAAGGTGGAGGATGGTCAATATTTACTGTAAAGGGTCAGATAGTAAATATTTTAGGCTTTGTAGACCATATGGCCTCTTTCTCAACTATTCAACTCTGTCACAGTTGCAGGAAAACAGCCAAAGATAATAGGTAAATGAATAAGTGTCATGTGTTTCAATAAAACTTTATTTACAATAAGAGGTGGTGGCCTAGATTTGGTTCCCAGGCTGTAGTGTGCTAAATACGCACTGCTCTCTAGTGCAGGTTTGAAAAATAGCGTGCAAGGTCTTCTAGTGTAGGATGAAAAATAGAATAAAGAGAGAAGGGAAAGCAGTTAGGAGCCAGTGGAGGTGGAAGGGAGGGAAGAGAAAGGAGTGATCCAGAAGAAGGCAGGCAGCTGGAAGCCACGTAGAACGTGAACACAGGGGTAACAGGAGATTCTGTAGATAGAAGTCTGGACCTGATGGTGGTAAGAATGTTTATTTTGAAGCGATGGAGGCCATACTAGATTGGAGTAAGTAAAATTTTAGCCAGATTAAGGGTATGATGTAAAGTTCTAATATCATTTACTTTCCCCAGACTAATTAAAGATTCAGGCATTGTGTGTGTGTGTGTGTGTTTGTGTGTATTATATATATAGTTATATATATATATAAAATTTTGTACATGTTTTTATGTGGTAAGTTTATCTGAATTTTTATCTTCAAATCCTACTACTTTTCCTTGGTGTCCTGTTGGTAAAAACACAGGTAGTACCACATTCCATAAGGGTTGTTTTTTTTTTTTAATTTAGAATGTTAGGTCTAGAGGGATGGATAGCTGTGTATAATACAACACATTGCTTCACATTTTAAGTATTGAGCAGTTTTTCTTAAAATGGCAAATTTAATGTTATCATTGATATATCTAACAGGAATAGCTTTTGTGCTGTTATGGTAGGAGTACAGAAAATCAGAAAACAGACCGGTGGCTTGCTGATCAGAGCAATAGGAGCAGTACAATGTGGATTTTTAAAAAAATATTTTAAATGTTTTATTTATTTCTGAGAGAGAGAGACAGACAGCGGGAGCAGGGGAGGGTCAGAGAGAGGGAGACACAGAATCCGGAACAGGCTCCAGGCGCTGAGCTAGCTGTCAGCCTAGAACCGGACGCAGGGCTCGAACCCACGAACTGCGAGATCATGACCTGAGCCGAAGTCGGACACTCAACTGACTGAGCTACCCAGGCGCCCCACAACATGGATTTTATGAATCGCTTCAGTCTGGACCTAGATTGTTAGAATACACTAAATATATATCTCATAACAACATTTTGACTTCTTAGAAAGTTTCATTTATTTTTCTCTATTCCATCTCTTCTTTCTCTTGTGTCTTACGGCATATATGTTAGAAATATATGCTTTATGAAAGTATGTAATGAGAAAGAGAAAGCAAACCACTTTTCTAAAACCCAAAATTTCAGAATGTAGTAATGTAGGCATGTTTTCTTTATTCTTTGTCAAAAGACTATGCAATTGAAACAGTTGTATAGAATGTTATAAAAATGAATATATTTTGATAAATGAGATTTATATTGTGAAATTCTCAGAAAAAATCATTATGTGTTAAATATGAACTGTTACCCATTTTGAAGTAGAAAAACATTATTATATATATTTTATCACTCACAGCTATAAATAAATCACAGTGAAAAGGATATAGACTCTTAATTAAAGGATGAATAATGATGTGGCATACACAGAATTTAAGTCAGACTTTTGAAATTATATTTTAAAGTTAATTTGAAATTTGAAATTAGAATTTAATGTACAGACAGTCGCAATGGTTGTTTTAATCTCAGTCCATACTAAAATCTGTATTTTAAAAGGCAAGCCTACTTCTCCTTTTAAGGAAAAAAGTGTTTTTACTATTCTCATATTGTTGCTTTAAAATTCTTTTGATAGTAAAGAAATTTATTATAGATTCCCATGTTTGAAAGGAATAATTTCATATCCAATGGGCAGTGTTTCTCAGAGAAATCCCACTTATATCCTTTCTGATTTTGTTCACTTTGTTCTCAGGCTGCCTGTTCTATGTTTTTCATGAACCAATTTAATGCCATACAGGGAGAGTCCTATACCTTACTGTTGTGGGTTGAATCTCTTTCCCAGTGACCCTTGCTCACACCCTGAAATTCACACTTGCCTTCTGCGCTCTTCTGAACAGTCTCTTCCCACCCCCACAACCCCTCCGCCCCTTTATGTTTCCCTGTTCCTGGTCACCTTCCCTTCCGGCTTCTTTGCTGTGCAGCTGTAATTTTACTTGTCTGGTAAAATTGTTTTGTCTTCTCTCAACACGTTGCTGTCATTCCTTGGGCCCCTTCAAATAAAGGACTTCCTAGTCAATGCTTTTTCAAGAGTGAGAAAAAACTTTTTCTAGAAATACTTGGAGAACGTGTTTGATGCCTTCTCTCAAAGTTCTGGCATAATTTAAAAGTGGAAACAACTCTTGAAATTTAGCATAATTATTTGTCATATTATATTTATGACGTATCACTGTTTCTTGACGGCACTGTCAGCGTTCAGCGCATAATGTGTAACTGAATTAATATATTAGCACGTGCATATTCAGATACTGCTGTAAGTGTGATGCCATCAAAATGACTGCATTTCGAGGTGGTTTTTTTTTTTTTAACCAATCTAAGATAAAGAATGATTTAATCTGGGAAATTAAATAGTGTTGTCGTGAGAATGTTAATTTGATAAGAAGTCACAGTTTTATGTGCCAAATGACCCAGCTTAATATTGTTCAGCAACTTTGTTTAGAGACTGTGAAATGTGGCTCACTGTTCCTGTAGATGCCAAGCTTCACAGCTGAAGTCTGGTGCCTGATAATAATCGGGTAAAGGGCCTCCAGTGCCAGAACCGTGTTGTGGATTATACCTACATTGCTTATGGCTCCCCTCTCCCCCTCTGCCCATATTAGCAATCTGCTTTTGTACTTTGACTTCCAGGATTTCCCTAGTGAATTTTGTCACAGAAAAAAGAGAATCATCAATATCGCAGTTAAACTTGACTTTCAAAGCTAATAGTATCTCATTTGGGGGCTCAAATTTAATAAATTTTCTTTGATTCTGGGTGAGTTTTTAAACATCAAACAATGAATTGGCCAGGGTGCAGTAAAATATTTAGATCTATTGACTATGGTTCAGAAGGGTAGAAGGCAAAACACCAGTGGTTTGATGTTGATAAATTCTCAGCACCTTAATCCACATTAATGTTTTCTTTTATCTGAGTGTACATTGGTGACCAAAAAAAAAAAAAAAAGACAAGAGAAGGTATCCATACGTATAAAATATTAAAATTAAAGCAAATATATTTGTAAAATACGATTTATTTTGTTATGTTAAGTAAGTTAAAAGCATTCTCATCCTGAGACTATTCTGTAGAATGTTTGTTACAGATAAATATGCATTCTGAATTGGGACTCTGCTCTGTGTACAGTGCCCACACCATTATAAAAATTGCATTACGGTGTATGTTTTCTAGCATACACTTTGACATTCATTTATTGACAGAAACTCTTCTGCTCAACTTGGGAATATAAAGAGTTTTATAACCATAGATTACCACAAACAGTTAAAGATGTCATCATATGTTTGTGTGTGTGTTTACTGGTGTAAGGGGACCCTATGCAGGATGATGGTTCATTCATAAAGTAAGAAATAACTCAAACAGGTATTACAAGCTTCCCAAGTAGAATAAAAAAGGGAAGGAGAGTTTTCTATCATATATTGTTGCCAAGTTACATTTGAAGTCGCTCAGGTAAAAGTACACATATAAATATATTTATTTGAGAAATTAGTGTTATTTTTATAGTTCTCCCATTCTTGACCTTTACTATTTCATAAAAAACACTTTTGATCCTGTGGCTTTAAGCTAGTTGTATAATATTTATCAAATATGTGGTAGTGAAGAGATACATTTTTAAAACCAAGTCAGGCATAAGGAAAGTTAGAAAATATGCCTGTATATGAAACCTACTATCATGCAGCTATATAATTAAAAATGAAAGCTTACTGATCTTATGGAAAACTAAACTGTGGAATTTTTAAAGCTTTTAATAACTTTAGACATTAAAAATGAAAACAGGTCAGTTTTTGAGCATTTTCTTTTATCTATATATAGTATAGAGAGAGTAGTTTCTCGTTTGTCCAGAAGGTGGCAGTGTAATATCAACTGCATGTGATACCTATACTGGCTAGAGAATTGGTATTTCTCCTGTATCTGTGATATGTTTGTATTGTTGCCATTCCGAATACTTAAAATATAGTACAGACACCACTGATTTTATTCATTATCTTATTTAGAAGTTGCATGACCAAGTTGGTCTGTATGTATTTGATTGCTAAGATTCAAGTTTAGTAAGAAGAAAATGGGCAAATAAACCTCTGACTGGTATATTTTTAAGTGTCCTTGTGTGTTGAGTATACTTGTTTTTATTCCAGAGTACATATTATTGAAGTTTCCTTTTCAGAGACCAATACCAAATAACTGTCTTGTCTAATATGTATCAGTTAATACCAGTGAAATCAAACATGTTATTTAAAAAGTGATAATAATTAGAAGATGGCTATTTGTTTTCTATTTTGTGAATATTTTTTTCCTCCTTTCTTTTTTCTTTTCAGGGTGGATTGTGAAAAAATAATTCAAAACCTCTTGATCAGAAGAGCTCCAGTGACTCTTCTTCCCTCCCTCATTTCAAGCAGGAGGATGCTTTTTCTTCTTAACATTCTCCCCCAGCACTCTGAATTAGAGATTTATTTGCAACGAAAAATCAATTAGTCCTAAATTTATTCATGGATTTCAGGTCCAGCGATCAATGCAAGTCCACTCAGTGGGCTCAAGGGGACCCAGTTCATCCCAGTTAATGTGTCTGAAGGGGAATTACCATTGATGCTGTTTTTTTCCCTTTAGGTCAGAGATCAGATCTCGCTGTCACGGACTGCGGCAAGTAGGAATGACTTCACCCTGCAGCTACCCAAACTGCACCTGGAGACCTTTGCAATGGAGGGGCTCAAGGGCGGGCCAGAGGTTGTAGCGTGCCAGGTTAGAGTCTGAATAACATTGTTTGCTACTGAGACGCATAGAGAAATAAATTGCACTAACTGGAGAGAAGGAAAGCTTCAAAGTATTGTGAATAACTTATAGGAGATGCAAATAATTTTTTTAATTTTTCTTCTGCTGTGTAACCCTAGTTCACAAATAATTGTGTTTTTTTTCTTTAAAGCCTTGAAATAGCCTGTTAAATAAGCCAGAAAAGTATTTTTTTTTTACCAAGGAAAAAATGTGCATTTTATAGCTAAGTATAGTATGTAAGGAACATGTTTTGCTGTCAGCAGAGGACAATAAGACACTAGGCTGTTATCTGTTTAAGCTGGTCTCAATTTGTAGCTCTTACTGTTTTAAATAAATCACTTTAGAGAAAATTACCAGGTGAGATATCTGAAAATTTTCAATGTTAATTCCAAAGTATAGCCAATATTTCCTAGGTGGCAATTTAATTTAAGCAAATGTAGAACCTTACTGCACTTTGCACTGAAGAGCTTTTCCCTTTCATTTTTAGTTTTAATGAACAACATAATATGTGCAGATTGGATTATTTCGTTTATAAAACTCGAAGTACCAAATCCTGAAAACTCAAATAACTTTAAAATCAACTTAATAAAGAAAAATTTTTCAAAAACATCAGTAAATAGCAAGAAAGAAATATAGAGACCCATCCTTTTCAAGATGCTGCAGGTATCTTTCTAATCAAGGTTACTATTGTGTTATTGTGGCCATTTTTTTCTTCAAGGTTGTGACAATTTTTTAATTGGGCAGAACAAAACTCGGTATATGCTTTATTTGCCTTTTAGTGCCCAGTGCCTTTATTGGAAAAACTATCAACATTGTGTAGACTGTAGGAAGCTTGATATTTCAAATGACGCTGTTCTCATTCAATAGTATTCTAGAATTTTCAATGTATTAAAAGAGAAATATTTCTTAAAACTCAGTTTCTCTTTCACATTTTGAGGTTTAAAATAAACTTTATCCTTCTTTAGTTTATGACCCTGTTGAGTTTTAATTTTGTACAAAATTGATGTCAGCCCAAGTGGGGCTCTGTTAATTTTTTTCTACATGCTCCATACCCTAATTTAATTTATTAGTGCCCAAATTAATGCTCTACAAAGAGAGAATACATTTCTTTCATTAGATTGTCCACCAATATATTTAAAATACATATGTGATTTAAAACTAAGCATAAAATGTTTTTATTTTCAGTTATAGGCTAGAATACTGTACCATTATTTAGTACAAGATTAAGATGTACATTGTAAATTTGATTACCGTTATTTATGAATTCATTGCAACCACAAATACAATATGATTTGAGATTTTTCTAGTGGCTGTAAAATAATCCTTTACTTGGCTATCTTGATTCAGAATCTCAGAGGGCTTAGGATTTGTCATAATTCACAGATAAAGACTTCCTCCAAACTGTAGATTTTGGTGATTTGGAAAAAGGCGATCCTCAGAATACCAGTTTTTTGGGGGAAAGCATGAATTCCCTATGGTTCTGACATCAGTAAATAGCAAGAAAGAAATATAGAGACCCATATTTCAGACTGCTCTCTTTCCCAGGTTCTACTAGAAATACTTATGCACATTGCCAATATCTATACACTTGGGCACACTTTGCAGTGACATGCTGGGATGTATACCGCAGGTTAGTCAGGATATCGAAGTTCAGTACTCCATGTGGAGAAGAGCACATGACTTAGGCCATAATAGAATTTTTTACACAGACACACAGACACAGACAGGGAGGCAGACAGACAGACAGACAGACACACACACACACACACACACACACACACACAGAATTATGATAGGCTTTGGAGTACTTCAAGAAGAAAGACTCTGTAGTAATTGATGACCTTAGTTTTCATATTAATAGCTACCATGTCAGTGTCCACTTACTATGGACAAGTTATCATGCTTAGTTCTTTACATACTTCATGCCGTTTAATTCTCACCGGGGATCTGTCTAAGGTGGCATTGTATGTCAAATAATGGCATCATTTGCACTTCACATTTGGAAAACAACTACATTAGGTAACTCCCCTCATCAACAAGTCAGGGACAGGGCTGAGAGCCTGAATTCGAGTGTAGGTATGTTTGACCACAAAGCCTGAACTGGTAAAATCTGATATTAGGAGATCTGGACCCCTGTGTTAAATGGTAAGCGCACAGCCTTTGAGATGTATAGTGGGATTTTCCTTCCACTTACAAACTACTCATTATGCATCTATGTAAGATGTAGGTCATAGTTTATGCTGTACTGTGGACAAATTCACAGAGAAAAAATTTTGTTTCCATTTGACAGGCTAATATTATTGGAACACTACTTTTCACCTTTTTGCAGTATATAAATATGTATATTTATGCTAAGTTTTGGTACATACATATTTAGGGACTCAGTATTTGTTTGGCTTCGTACTCTGTGCTGATGAAGTGGGCTGTTCAGAGAGCACACGTCCTTTGATTATGCCGAGGAGAGGATCACTGTGCAGGACGTGGCAGCGTAGGACCATTTGGCCAAGCTGTACAACCATTACTGGAGCAGTAGACGCTGTCCCTGTGTGTCTTGTCCAAAATGGGAGGCTTTATTATGGGCATAATCCGGGAGGAAGGAGGAACAGTGAGCGTGAGGGGATGGCGAAGAGGATTATTGCCCTTTCTCCCTGGACCCAGAAGAGCATGTGACCGATGCTCTCCTCGGGGAGAAAATTCCAGTCCGAAAAATGTTGGCTCTGAGATCTGCTAGCATTTAGCCTCAGTTTTCCTATCTGCACGCACACACACACCCCGCCCCCCACGACGTGCAGTCCTATCAATTTCTCAGGGTTGTAGGAGCATTAAGTGAGGCAATGCATGTCACGCGGAGACCGCAGTGCCAAGAGGGCAGGCAGTGTATGGTGGCAGTTATGACCGCAGCCACGAGGGGACCCCTGTAGATCGGAAGTTAGTGCTAGTGGCTGTTGTTTGTTACTTTTAAGGGTGTGTGCATTTTATATTGAGGAATGGTTATTTAGGATCTTTCTCTATCTTTCCATTAGCTTCTTTTACTCTTCCTTCCTTCTTCAGAAGCTTTAAATAACTTTGATTAATATCGACATCAGCTCCCTATGTACTTTTCCATGTTACTTGATGTTCCAGTGAGGCCATGTAGCCAATGAAGCCCTTTGTCTAAGCTCTTTTTTTTTTTTTATTTTTTTAAAAATGTTTTATTTATTTCTAGGAGAGAGAGAGAGAGAGACAGCGTGAGCAGGGGAAGGTCAGAGAGAGAGGGAGTCACAGACTGAAACAGGCTCCAGGCTCTGAGCTGGCAGTCAGCACAGAGCTCGACGCGGGGCTCGAACCCATGAACCGCAAGATCATGACCTAAGTGAAAAGTCGGACGCTTAACCGACTAAGCCACCCAGGCGCCCCAGCTCTTTTTTTTTTTTTTCAATTTTTATGTTTATTTATTTTTGAGACAGAGAGAAACAAAGCATGAGTGGTAGAGGAGCAGAGAGAGAGGGATACACAGAATCCGAAGCAGGCTCCAGGCTCTCAGCTGCAAGCACAGAGCCCGTCGCGGGGCTCAAACCCACAAACCAAGAGATCACGACCTGAGCTGAAGTTGGGCGCCCAACTGACTGAGCCACCCAGATGCCCCTACCTTTGTCTAAGCTCTTATGGCAAATCCATGTTATTGTTACCTGTGCCTTTATCTCCCAAATGATAGTGTTATCAGTCTACCAGAAAAAAATTAAAACACCTAGATTAGACAAGTTAGCTCTAGCTGAAAAGTCCAGTACAATATGAATGCACAGGACTTTGTCATAAAAAATATGCTGCCCATGTTTTATAAAGATAATACCTATTACTCATTATCTTATACTTTGAATTTTTTTGGTAATAATTAAGACAGGTAATGCATTTTTAAAAACATATTTTTTATGTTTATTTTTGAGAGAAGGAGAGAGAAAGAGGGATCCAAAGTGGGCTCTGCGCTGAGAACAGAGAACCCAATGTGGGGCTCGAACTCACAAACCCTGAGATCATGACCTCAGCCAAAGTTGGACATTTTACTGACTGAGCCACGCTGGAGCCCCTGTAATGCATTTGTTATCTGGCAAATATTAGTAGACACGTAATAAATGTTTGTGTCTCCACCCTCATTCAATAATGAGCGACAAAGAACAATATAAAGAGTTGACGTTTGTTGAGTACTTATTCCGTACCAGTCACTGTGCTAGCCACTTTACATTTGCTATCTCATTTAATTCCTGCAACAACGGTATGAATCGGTGCTCTGATTTTATCTATTTTATAAAGAAAGGAGCTAAAGTTTACTGAGATGCAATAAATTGCTAAAGCTTACATATCCAGTGAATAGGGTCCATTCATGCTTTTTATTTCTGCCTTTTGTAAACCATGGTTTACTCTGTGTGTGTGTGTGAGCTTAAGATGGTCAAGAGGGAAAAAGAATAAAGGAAAGGTCTGTCTGTAGAATACAGTTTCTTTCGTGAGGAAATGTGGAGAGGATAGAAATCCAAATGAGGCTAACTGGAAAAGCCACTTACTTTACTTTTTACTTACATACTGTGTATTTTGGCCTTTCATCTGTGAAATGCAGATAACAAAAATTTCTAACTCATTGTGTTGGTGTGATGATTAAATGGGGTAGCATATTTACAGTGCCCAGAATAGTGACAGGTGCATTGTAAACCCTCAGTGTCCGTTAGCTGTCCACTAACACGACAGCTTCACGAGGCCAGGAACTTGGTTTTGTTCACTGTTGCATTATTCTTTAGGCTAAATGAGTGGGGTTGCTGCCCCTAGGGTTAGGCACATTCTAAGGCTTAGATATACATTCGACAAGGTCCCTGAAAAAGACTGTCAGTTTACTCCTAAATGACTCCTATTAGGCTTTTAGTTTCTTTCTGAAAAGTATGGTTCTTTATTTTCCATTACTACAGGGAAGTGTTACCTTTTTTTATACTTTAGATCTTCCCTGA